TGATCTGACTTTGGTTGCTAGACACACGATGCAGTATATAGATTACATATCATAGAATTGTATACTTGAGACCTGTATGACCCTATTACCCACCAAAATTTAATAAAATAAAAAATAAATGGTGTCTCTTGTAGACAACATATAAAAAATAAAATGAAAGTATATGGGAAAACTGAAGACTAGAGGCCTGGGGAAAGTGGTTTAGAATTTGAGATGTATAGTATCATTGCAATCAACTGTGTTTTGTTCTGATGTGTGCTTCCTACTAAACCTCTGCTCCCCTGTACACACTCAAGAAATGTAATCATGCATAAGCCTTATTTTCATTAATCTGGCGTTTTATTTAGATTTTTTTCCTTTGGAAAATAAAAAGGAAAAGTAAGTCAACAGATTCTGTATCTGAAAAAGCCATGATAACCAACTGTATTAAAATGCTAAGAACTAAAGGAAAGATGTGGAGAAAGTAAAGCAAGTAGTATGTGAACAAAAAGGAAATATCAATAAAGAGAGAAAACTTACAAATAACCTAAAAGAAATGCTGGAGCTGAAAAGTATAATAATGGAAATGAAAATGCACTGGTTGGATTTAAAGGCAGATTTGAGCAGGCAGAAGAAAGCATCAGCAAGCTTTAAGATAAGGAAAGTGCAAGCTATTAAGCCTGAGGAACAGAAGGAAATAAGATTGAAGAAAAGTGAACAGAGCCAAAGGGACCTGTGGGATACCATCAAGCAAACAAATATGTTCACTGTGGGAGTCCCAGTAGGAGAAGAGAAAGAGAAAGGGGCAGAGAGAATATTTGAAGAAATAATGGCTGATAATTTCTGAAAACTGATGAAACATGAATGTAAACATCCACAAAGTTCAATGAACTTAATATGAACTCAAAGAGACCAACACTAAAACATATTATAATCAAACTTTCAAAACACAAAGAAAAATGGAGTATGGGTAGAATTGATGTTTGTAATATCCAGGCCTGGACCACAAAAACTTCCTAGGCAGTCTTTCAAGATCTCTGTCATTCCCCATACACTGGCTTGAAGAAAAGATTCTAAGGCCCAAAAGAAGGTGCAAAAGCAGAGCCTGGGTCCCTGAGTCACTGCAAGGAAGGCTGCTCACTGAATACCCTCTCTAAACAAAGTGATCAAATCTCTATTTTGTTACACTGATATAGTTCAGAGGCTATCTGATTTAAAAATAAATAGCCATTTTGTTGCCAAGCATGCCCATCCTATCATATCTGACTTAAAATACTAAAAAGTTCATCTGAAATGTCACTTCTTTCCTTAGTTAACAAGTCAAAAAATGTTGTCCTTCTTCTAACATTAAATAGATCTATTTTTATTATTTTATAGCACTGATCACTTAGCATTTAATATTTATGTTCATGTTTTGTCTCTGCTTTAGATTGTGTGCTTCCAGAACATAAATCATATTTCTTTCATTTTTGTATGTTTTGTACTATGTGTCATACTGTGTGTTGTACACAGATACTTCATAGGTATTGCATTATATAGGTAGGTAGTGTTAAACATCATTCATCTTCCCTAAATTACCTCTGCAGTAGCAGACTATCAGGTTGGTCCTCCTGATGGTTAACATCTACATTGGAACCCAACTTTCCATTTCTTGAATGCTTTCTTGGCTCTGACTCTACTACCTTTTCTGTCACTTTCTTAGACATGCATAAGGGCAGCTTTTTTCCTTAGAAGTTCCTCTTAAAAGCTAGATATTGTTCATCAGTACATTTCTACTTTTTATTGTCTTTTGGTTCCAAAAAACAACCTTTAAAATATTTATTACAGAAACTCAGTAGTTTCCCCACACCTCCTACCTAGTCTGATAGGAATGAATCACAGTACACATCTCTGGCCATACACTCTTCTACAACTTCTCTTTTCATCCAGAGTACTACTTCCCCATACATGTAGTAAGTCAGGTTTTATTTAGTACTTCCTTAGCTGGTTAATTATGTCTCACTGCATTATTCTAAAGATCAAGCTTTTTGGCTTCTCGTTTCTCTTAGTTCTTTTGAAGTCTAATCTTTATTTGAAGTGTTTAAGTAGTATTATCTATCTGATATATACCACATTAAGTATATAAGGTATTTTTATGTATTATCTTATTTAATCTTATTTAATTCTAACCACAATCATATGAAGAAATTATTTTAAATAACAATTACCATATGAACAGCAATTCCACTTTTGTTTCTGAAAGAAACAAAATTAGTATCTTGAAGCTATATCTGCATCCCTATGTATTGTACAGCATTATTTGCAGTAGCCAAAATATGGAGACAACTTAAGTGTTCATCTCTAGATGAATAGATAAAGAAAATGTGATATAATTGACTATTATTCAGCCATTAAAAAGAAGGAAATTCTGCCATTTGCAACAACATGGATGAACTTTGAGGGCATTATGGTAAATGAAATAGAGAGAGAGAGAGAGAGAGATACCACATAATCTCACTTATATGTAGAATCTTAAGAAAAGAAGAAAGAAGTCATAGATTTAGAACACTGGTGGTTGCCAGAGGTGAGGGATGAGCAAAATGGGTGAAAGCGGTTAAAAGGTACAAATCTACGGTTTTCAAATAATTAAAGTCCTGGGGATAAAATGTAAAGCATGGTGATTATAGTTAATACACTGTATTTTATATTTGAAACTAGTCAAGAGAGTGGATTTTAAAAGTTCCCATCACAAGAAAACATAATTTGAACTATGTGTGACAATGGATGTTAATGGGATTTATTGCTGATCATTTTGCAATACATACAAGGAACAAATCATTATGCTGTACACTTGACTATCTCAATTAAAAAATAATAAACGTTGAGCCATACATCAAAACTCAAAACAGAAATACAAAGCTCACCTGTCCAGAGATCAAAGGGCTCTTCTCATTCCAAATGGGCATAAAATTCTTAGCTGATTTGAACTTAAGACAGGCAATAAATATTAGCAAAACAAAGTTTCTATTATATCTCACCCAACAGAGAATAGCTCTCTATAAACCATAATTTTTTAAAGAATCACCAAGTGGTGAGGCAGTAAAACAAAATTCTCAATCACTTCTGCCACTAATGATAATGGCTGTAAAGGAACAAAAGTGAAAACGAAAAACAAAATTAGTAGAGAGGACAATTGAAACTAAAAAACAGAACATCTACATAGTTACATTTCTACTTTAGGTTCACCTCTGGGGGGCAAGACCTTCCTGGTACACTACTCTCATGATGACATTTACTCTATTAGGTGAATCTGTTGGACATTTTGGCAAAGACTTCCAAAACTGTTTAAAGATCATTTTCAGAGAAGGGTGAAATAAAGACTCTCCTACTTATATAAAAATGAACTCATATTAAGGATAGTACTTAAATGAACTCATATTAAGGTTCAACTTAACTTTGAATAACTGGTGTCATTCAAAGGAGAATCTAAGTTAAAACGCACATTTATATAGGGATCAGGAACATCGAAGTGAATGCATAAATGGAAGCACCTTTTCTACGGTGTATCCTTCCTTGGCCAGAATTAACATGTGTATAGGTAAGAATTATATTGTATGGCTATCAGTTATCTATGCTTTACAGAATTGTAAAGTAGCTTGAAGAGAATTAGAATCAGAAAGTGTGGAAGGATATGCCATAAATTATGCATAGTTTTCTACTGAAGCACAACATTTCTCTATAGTAGCCATTGTTCATATTCAGAGAATCAATAAGACTTTGGACCAAGCACTAGGGCCAACAAGCAGCTTAAACCAGCCCTATAGAGGACTAGTACAACTGCTTTTCTCTTCTTTCCAAGTCTTTAAAACACAGCAGTGGATAGAGTAGGAACTGGGTTTGAATACTAACACCCATCATGCAGTAGCTGTGAAATGCTAGTGAGTTTATTTAACTTCTCTATACCTCAGTTTTTCTACCTATGAAACTGGAAGAGTAATGCCATCCTGACAGAGTGTATATGATGATTAAATTAAATTAAATGTGTGTAAAGTACTTAGCACAATGCCTGGCAAACATAAGTATTTAACAAATAGTATCTAGTAACTCTGTCAATTGGTAATTAAAATACCAAATTAATGTTTAAAGATGGGCAATACTTATAATTTCCAGAAGGCATTAATCCAATAATTACAATGATTCTTTACATCTGATGGTGAATAGAACACTTTTACATAAATTCTTATTTTAATCTGTGTTCAAGTGAAGATTATAGATTACAAAATATAAACATATAAGTATGTTCATGTGTTTATTTCCACCAAAGAATCTGTATTTACTTAACTAATAAGTTGTACACAGACATTAACTCCTCAATTATAAATCAGATCATTAACTTAAGTGATAGTAAGTAGTCCATTGGAAGCCATTTAGCATATCCAGATTATGCTTGTGTACTCTGGCAAAGTGATCAATTATGCACAATTATTCTTGAATTTTATAATTTTTGAAAAATTTATTTTGTAATGAGACCTAAATATAAAAATAGATCATAGAAAATAGCAATTAATATTAATACAAGAAAATCTGATTTAGTTCAAATGCTAAGTCAGCTGTGTAGCTGATGACAGATCTTAAAGATATATGTTGTTAGATGCAATATAGTGTAGTGGCCAAGAACATGGGCTCTGGAGTCAAATTACCTGGGTTGGAATTCCTGCTCCATCAATAATTAGCTATATAATCTCAGAGGAGTAACTAAATCTCTCAGTCCTTCAATTTCCTCCTCTGTAAAATGTGGATGATAAGAGAGCTAACATTTACATTTACCATGAAAGTAATATTAAATGAGATAATAGTTAAAATACTTATAACAGTGCCTGATACATAGTAAGCACGCAATAAATATTGCTTATTTTTATTGTGATGATGGAGTAGTTCAGGCCTGAGCAAGGTAACCATTTTTGTAACTGATCTTTGAGTTGTCCTGAATATCCCATATATTTATTTTGTGATAGTCAGATGAATCCCTGTCTGTTTTTAAGGAAGCCTCAACTGATCCTGTCAGAGTGCTCAGCTGGCTCCGCAGAGACCTGGAAAAAAGTACAGCAGGGTTCCAAGATGTTAGTTTCAAGCCTGGAGACTCATCCTTTGGTGGGGAAATGACAGACTCAGGAGGCCCATGCAAGGGTTTCTTAGTGGACTACTACAATACCCCCAACAAGGGCAGTCCAGAGAGAGTTCATTTTGAGGTGACTCACAGAGAGAACCCTCTCCAGGATGCCAGCGCCCAAGTTGGTAATGAAAGAGCAGTAGATGAAGTTTCCTTCTATGCTAACCGCCTCACAAACTTAGTCATTGCCATGGCCCGCAAGGAGATCAATGAAAAGATTGATGGCTCTGAAAACAAATGTGTCCATCAGTCATTGTATATGGGGGATGAACCCCCACTCAACAAAAGCCTGAGTAAAGTGGCATCAGAGCTAGTGAATGAGACTGTCGCCAAATGTTCCAATAACACTACCTCAGATAAATTTCCTGGCCCTGGTGACAAAGCCTCAAATGTGAAATATAAGACCACTTTGAAGATCAAGGAAAACAAGGGTCCAGATGACAAGCCTGCTTCTAAGAAGTCCTTCTTCTATAAAGAAGTGTTTGAATCTCGTAATGCAGGTGATGCTAAAGGGGGTAGATGGTCCTTACCTGGGGAGAGAAAGTTATTCAGTGGGCAAGAGAGGCCTGATGACTTTACAGCTTCTGTCAGTCAAAAGATCATGACCTATGCTAACAGTGTGGTATCTGATATGATGGTCTCCATCATGAAGACACTGAAAATCCAAGTGAAGGACACAACCATTGCCACCATCCTGCTGAAGAGGGTACTGATCAAGCATGCAAAAGACGTGGTCTCAGATCTCATTGACTCCTTCATGAAGAACCTCCACAATGTCACAGGGACTCTCATGACTGATACAGACTTTGTGTCAGCTGTGAAAAGAAGTTTCTTCTCTCATGGAAGCCAGAAGGCCACAGATATCATGGATGCTATGTTGAATAAGCTTTACACTGTGGTGTTTGCCAAGAAACCTCCTGAGAATATCAGGAAAACCAAGGACAAGTCAGAGAGTTATTCCCTTCTCTCCATGAAAGGAATGGGTGACCCTAAAAAAAGAAATGTAAATTTTGCAACAATGAAATCTGAAGGTAAATTGAGGGAAAAAATATGCTGTCCTCCACGTGAACCAGAGAAGACATGCGCTGAAACTTTGGGTGAACACATTATCAAAGAAGGACTGAGCTTGTGGCATAAAAGTCAGAATAAAGAAGGAGTATTTCCAGGTTCTCAGTGTGTAACATTTGCAGCTCCCAATGACCAGTGTAGCCCTACACCAGAATATCCCCTTGGACATCCCATGGATATTGGCAACCTCAGCCCTCCAGGGCATCACCTAGAGAATCCTGAGAATTTTATGTGTGATTCAGACTCCTGGGCCAAGGACCTGCTTGTATCTGCCTTACTTCTAATTCAGTACCATCTGGCCCAGGGAGGAAGTATGGATGCACAGAGTTTCCTTGATGCTGCTGGTACTAACAACTTTCCCACCACTAAGCCCCCTGTTGTTTCTGATGAGACCAACCTTAAGTGTCCTCATGGGGGAGGTAACCAAGAAGAAGCAGAAAAGAAAGATCTAAAGAGCATTTTCTTCAACTTTATCCGGAATTTACTTACTGAGACTATTTTCAAGAACAACAGTAGCTCTGAACCCAAGGTGCCAGAACAACCAATTAAGGAAGACTTCTTCAAAAGACCTGTAACCCCTTCTCCCATAAAACTAAGTGAATGTGATGAGGCTGATGGTACCTTTCCTGGGCTGAGCATGATAGTTGCTGACCAGCTGGATGGCCACATGAATGGGGAAATGGTAGAACATCTGATGGACTCAGTGATGAAACTTTGTCTCATTATTGCCAAGTCCTGTGACCCTCCCTTTGCAAAACTGGGAGACGATAAGTCTGGTGATGCTAGCAGGCCAACTTCAAACTTTCCTGATAGTTTATATGAGTGTTTACCAGTCAAGGGCACAGGGACAGCAGAGACTGTCTTACAAAATGCCTATCAAGCTATTCATAATGAATTGAGAGGTATATCAGGACAGCTCCCTGAAGGGTGTGCAGCACCCAAAGTGGTTGTCAGCAATCATAACATAATTGATAGTGTTCAGAACAAGCAACTCCAAGCTGTACTTCAATGGGTAGCTGCCTCTGAGCTCAATGTCCCTATTTTGTACTTTGCTGGTGATGATGAAGGAATCCAAGAAAAGGTAAGGAAGATAATGGTTCGTTGGGGTTTTAAGTTGTCATCTTTCTGAATGGGAAGATAGCCACAAGGAGAATAGAATGGGGACAGTAAGAATTTGAAGATCATGCCTCTTGGCAGAAATAATGGATAGAGTAAAATTATTTTTTTGCCCAATAAGAATTACATCAAAGGGGGGAAAGTGGGGCTATATGATAAATCACATCTGATTCTTTTCTGCATATGTTAATGAGATTGCATAGATGCAAAATCTCCAAGAGACCTAGTAAAAGAATCAGATTAAGGTCTGGGCTTCAGGCTGAATTTTGGATAGGACAGCAGTGCCCAAAGAATGAGAAGGGGCTTCATGGAAGCATCCTGAGATGTGTTAAGGGAGTTTGGGAGTAGGGCATGAATGATCTAGATTGATGAGCTTTTCAAAACTATCATTATTGTTTTAGTTAGCTGTCTAGGTGGTATTGGAGATTTGAAGATATTTGGTAAATAACATGCCTTTCCCCCCTACCCTAAGTTCTGAATCAATTGAGAAGACAAAAGAATAAGGCAAATGGGAAGTCAGCTTATCACTGTTACTACTGATTAACTGTGCCTTCTAACTCCTTGCTCCTCCCAGTGTAGGCCTTGGAACTGCTCACTGAAGGGAGATTTTCAGTCTGGAAAGCATGAACATTTATGCAAGTTGCTGCTTCATGCTACTATAGAGGAATTAAGAAATAGAGACCATCCCTACCACACACAAACACACATACACAGCTTTAGGGATTTTGATTATTGTCTCAACTGATAAAAGCAGAACAGTGGCAGTTACCAATTAAGTAGTAAGGAGGCTGGGATTATTTACAAAAATAATTCATCCTCATGGAAACCAGAGGACAGATAAAGTAAAAGATTTTACCTGTTTAATAAGTGGCATTAGTAAATCCTACAACTGGGCTCCTTGGTTTATCTGATGACTGGGAAGACACAGGATTTTAAAGTCTCCAGATTAGGCTACACTAAACCTAAACAAGATACTATATGATATGTGGACTTGCTACTCAAAATGTGGTCTCTGAACCAACATTGGTGTCAGCCAGGAGCTTGTTAGAAGTTTAGAATCTCAGGCTCCACTTCTGCTCTACTGAATCAGAATCTTCATTTTAGCAATTTAGCAAAATTACCAGGTGGTCTGTGTGTACATTCAAGTTTGGGCTAGAGAACAGAATGTGGAGTTCCAATCCTACAAATATCCCTAAGAGTCTTGGTGCACTGTAAAGAGTCTCAGTCACTATAGTTTTGCCAGTCTGTAAAACAGACAAGTAGTTTAGCACATAGCAGTTTACAAAGGGGATCTATATTCACAAAAGTTTTAGACTGATGAAAAATATTAAAAGAAGTATAGCTTTATGTATACAATGTGTGAAACAAGCTTTTGTTCTGTAGCCATCTTTTAAGTCAAATACATCATATATAAAATACATAATACATTTTGGGTTTAGATTATTTTGAATTAAAATGTCTATAATATATTTATCTAAAGTGGACACAGTAGACTTGTGGTCCTCCTAAACAAACACACACACCCATACATTTTACCCACTATAAAGATAAAGATGACCATCTCTTTTATTAAAGGAAAAGAATGGAAAGGATGGGCAGCAGCACATCTGAACTTCAATTAATAAGTTAATGCTCATTGAATATCAGCATATTTTTAAGAACAGATGGGGAAGTACATATCAAAGAAACTTCCCAAAAATTATTTTAGATTTTTTGGGAAAAAGATTAATGTGTACAAATACTCTCATGCTGACAAAAGTGATTGAGCCCAATAACACTGGAATACTCATGAGCCCAACTCTTTAAATAAATTTGTGGGCATTTTTGAATAGATAATATGTGCATAGTTCAAAATCCAAAGGCACAAAAGAATGTACAGTGAAAATTAAGGGTTTTTTTTTCATCCTTATCTCCCATTCTATTACTCTTATTGGAGAAAACCATTATGATCAATTTCTTGCTTACTGTTTTATTTTTTAAGTGTATTTTATTGATTATGCTATTACAGTTGTCCCATTTTTTTCTCCCCTTTATTCCACTCCACCTTGTATCTCCCCTCCTACCAGCATCCCCCCCCACCTTAGTTCATGTCTGTGGGTCATACATATAAGTTCTTTGGCTTCTACATTTCCTATACTATTATTAACGTTCCCCTATCTATTTTGTACCTACCATTTCATTTATGCTTCCCAGTCTCTGTACCTTTTTCCCCAGTCTCCCTCTGATAACCATCCATGTGATCTCCATTTCTGTGATTCTGTTCCTCTTCTAGTTGTTTTCTTTGTTTGTGTTTTATGGTTCAGTTGTTAATAGTTGTGAGTTTGTTGTCATTTTACTGTTCATATTTTTTATCTTCTTCTTTTTCTCAGATAAGTCCTTTTAACATTTCATATATAATAAGGGCCTGGTGATGATGAACTCCTTTAACTTAACCTTATCTGGGAAGCACTTTATCTTCTCTTCTATTCTAAATGATAGCTTTGCTGGATACAGTAATCTTGGTTGAAGCTCCTTGCTTTTCATGACTTTGAATACTACTTTCCAGTCCCTTCTTGCTTGTAAGGGTTCTTTTGAGAAATCACCTGAGAGTCTTATGGGAACTCCTTTGTAGGTAACTGTCTCCTTTCCTCTCGCTGCTGTTAAAATTCTTTCCTTCTCTTTCATCTTGGGTAAGGTAATTATGATGTGCCTTGGTGTGTGTTTCCTTGGGTCCAACTTCTTTGGGACTCTCTGAGCTTCCTGGGCTTCCTGGAGGTCTATTTCCTTTGCCAGATTGGGAAAGTTATTCTTCATTATTTTTTCAATTTTTTCAAGAAGTTTTCAATTTCTTACTCTTTCTCTTCCCCTTCTGGCACTCCTATGATTCAGATATTGGAACGTTTAAAGTTGTCCCAGAGGTTCCTAAGCCTCTCCTGATTTTTTTGAATTCTTGTTTCTTTGTTCTCTTCTGGTTGAATGTTTATTTCTTCCTTCTGCTCCAAGCTGTTGATTTGAGTCCCAGTTCCCTTCCCGTCACTGTTGGTTCCCTGTATATATTTTTTATTTCACTTTTCATAGCCCTCACTTTCTCCTCTATTTTGCAACCATAAATAAGCCCTTCATTTATGTGAGCATCCTGATTATCAGTGTTTTGAACTGTGCATCTGATAGGTTGGCTATTTCTTCATTGCTTAATTCTATTTTTGGAGTTTTGATCTATTCTTTCATTTGGGCCATTGTATGTAAGTCCAGCTACCAAGGAGTTAAAGAAAAAACATCCATCTAGACTGAGAGGATATCCAGAGATAGGCAGCCAGGGTAGAGATGATGTGGCAAGGCAGTGATAGGAAGACTGGGTGGGCAAGGTGGTGACTGGCAGGCCAGATGGGACAGTCCCACATTTGTGTGTACATAAACCATGAGGAACAACTGGGGAGCTAGATGGACTGCATAACCCAGGGTTTTGGCATAGAGAAATAAAACCTCAGAACCTCTGACTGTAAAAACCTGTGGGGCTTGTGGCAATGGGAGAAATTCTAGGCCTCACAAGAGAATTTGTTGGAGAGACTCACAGGGTCCTAGAACATACATATACTCACCCACCCAGAAATCAGCAGCAGAAGGGCCCAATTTGCTTGTGGGTCACAGGGGAAGTGACTGAAAGCTGGCTGAGAGCCAAGCAAGCAACATTGTTCCCTCTCTGACCCCTCCATCACATACAGTGCCACAAAGACGTGGGTTGCCCCTCCCTGGCAAATTACCTAAGGCTCTGCCCCTTACAATGTAATAGTTACTTATCCTTTTAGAAATATATATGCATACACAAGTAAGTACTTATGTGTGTGTGTGTGTGTATATATATATATATTTTTAAGCCTCAATCATAGTATAATATGTATATTCTTTTCTGCCACATTCTTTTCAATGACTGCATATTACTGTATTGTATGAAGGTGCTGTATTTAACCACTTTCCCATGTATGGACATTTAAGTTGCCAATATTTTGCTACTAAGTGCAGTGCTGTGTGCACACAGTCAAATGCATCTAAATATGCTAAATACTTAGCATATTTAGCAAATATGTTAAATACTCAGAAAAGGAACTTCAAGATCACCATTAATGTCTGTTTGTGTATTTAATATATATCTTCAGATTGCCTTCCATAAAGCTTGCACCAATTTGCACATCTGCTAAAACAATATGAAAGTGCCTATTTTCCATACTTTAGTCAACAGAGAGTGGCAAACTTGTGATCTTTGTCAAGTTCTGTTTTCCTTTGCACTTGGCTTATTGGGAATGAGGGTGACTATCTTTTCATAAGTTTAAGAATCATTTTAATTTTCTTTTTCATGGATGAATTGTTTGTTTATACCCCCTGCTTATTTTTCCATTCGGTTGTTATTCTTTTTCTTATTAATCTCCAGGAGTTTTATATATAAGGAAATTAGCCTTTGTGATATTAAATACATTCTTTAATCATTTGTCTTTTGATGTTTTGCCAATTTGTTTTGGCCATATAGAATTTTTTAAATGTTTATATAACCAAATCTAAGACATTTTTTCTTTTATTTTTCCTGGATCTTGTGTCATATTTTGGAAGACATTCTTTACTCTAAGATATTAACAAAACTTTCTCATATTTTCTCTCAATACTTATGTTTTTAAAAATATTTTATTGTTATTCTATTGCAGTTGTCCCAGTTTCCCCCCACCTTTGCTCTCTCCTGCCCAGCCCACTCCCAGTCTCACAGTCAATCTCCACCCCATTGTCCATGTCCATGGGTCATTCATACATGTTCCTTGACTAGTCCCTTCCCCTTCTTTCTACTCTTAGCCCCCTCTTTCCTCCCCTCTGCCTGCTGCGGGTCTGTTCCATATTTCCATGCCTCTGGTTTTATTTCACTCATTAGTTTATTAGGTGTCTCTTATAAGTGAGATCATATGATATTCGTCTTTCACCTCCTGACTTATTTCACTTAGCATA